AATTTCCTATAAATTATGAAATTATAGTATACTCAGCTGAAAAGGGTGTGGGCTTGGAAACCATAGGAAAGGGTTTGTCTGCCTGAGGGATTCTCCACATCCCTATCAGTCAGCACACCACACATTAGCTCTGCCACTTTTTATAAGATACCTAAATTCCCTACAGCCTCCTAGTACTTATAAATTCAGAAGTCTAATGCTTCCCTCATAGAATTTTTGTAGCAATTACATAAGGCAACATATATAGAGAGCTAAGGCATTCCAAATATTGCAACTGCTATTACTATTAATACTTTAACTGCTTGCTAATAGTTTAATAACTGCTTTTTAATGAAAATCAATTTAGTTAAAATGTTGAACAAATATAGTTCATATGCATCTGTGAGCTGCTTCCTTCTAAACTCAGTTCCATGTGCTCATTTTCCATTGCTATGTAACTAATTGCCACATACTTAGTGCTTTAAAACATCTTTTTACTATCCCAGTTCTGAAACATCAGAAGTCCTTGCAAGGCTTTGTGGTGTTCTATAACCTGCTTCTCACAAGGCTGCATCAAGGTCTCAGCCAAGATTGGGAGCTCAACCGAAGCTCAGGTCAGGGTCCTCTTGAAAGTTTACTGATTGTTGGAAAAATTCAACTCCTTGCAGCTGTAGGACTGATGGAGGTGGTGTATTCAAGGGCAGCAAGAGAACATCCCTCTAATGTGTCACCTTTTTCAAAGGCCTATTTAGCTATGTCAGCCCCACACAAGATAATTTTCTTTTTTATTAACTTGAAGTCAACTAATTAGCAACCTTATCATGGGAGTGATATCTCATCAGATCCAGAAATTGACTCCACATTCAAGGTAGGGTGGGGCAGATTGTACAGGACATGTTATACACCCAGAGATGGAAATTTGGGGGGGGGGATCTGAGAGTCTTGCCTACCACTCAAGTTAATAACGGCAAGCTAGAAAATGCACATTTGTAGTTACATATTTTAGCAAGGTACTCGTGTGTGGGTGAACATGTGGTTTCAGCAATTGCGTTGGAATAAACCAAGTGAAGAATCCTAACAGAATTCTTGCATGTGAAAAAGTCGGTTCCTTGGAACTAAGAATCAGACATGTAAAAACATATTTGTATTACTTTAAAAGATTATAATTATCATTAAAATAATTAGTAGCTATATGTGTCATGTATCCCCAGTATAAAGATAAAATAATGTTCTTTTTTTAAAAAACATTAATGAGCGAAGAGGATTCTGGTAAAAAAAAATGTGGTAAGCCAAAAGTGTTGAATTTAGTTGAGAAGGTTTTTGATTTTCAGTGGTCTTTAGACAACACAAATAAGATAATAAATGAGAGTGTTTTCAAGAAACTTAAAGAGGGAAAGAGGGAGAGAGGGAGGTTGAGGAAGAGGGAGAGGAGGAAGGAGAAGAGAGAGAGGTAAGAATGCAGGAAAAGGTATCCTACTTTATTCTCTTTACTTGAAATAGATTTTCTCGTGACAACAACAAAGACAGAAGAAATGAAAATGAACATCAAGAAAGTGACCTAAAACCAAAATGTTAAAATATTTACAAATAATTATATAGAAAATTATTCAGGAAACAATTCAGATAGAAATTATATAGCTCTTTATAATTTATTAACCAATTTATAGGACTCAAACATTTTTCAAATTAAAAGCTTATATTATGAAATTTTTCCACATTGATTTTAAACTTCAGAAACATCACACATTGCTTAACTACTGCCCACATACTCTAGAAGGAAAGATGGGATTCTTATTAACAAACAACAGGCATTTTTTTGTGTGTCTTTTTTCTTCTTTGATATACAGGAATAAATTTGGGCTGATTAATGCATGTTTTTTTGGTATAATTTCTCAGAAGCAAAACTTGAGGAAGATTTCTTTTCCTTATAATTAACTTTGAATTTGTAATATACTAAATGTGTTCATTCCTTGGACATATTTCCCCCCAAATTCTAAAGTAATGGTAAAAAATTAAGTTCATATATATATATGTAGGCATAATTCTACTCTGAACAGCAACTGTGTATAACATGGAGGTTGGATTGTGCCAGGTGGGTTAGATAAGAGTGTAAAGCCTAAGAACTAAATGGAAATTTTTTTCTATGATTTTTCTTAATAAGAGGGAAAAAGGCATTTTCTGAAAATTTGCTTGGGGCTACAGAATTTAAACTAATACTCTTGGGACATTAAATGGCAAATTTATAGATTATTGAAGGATACATATATAATACAGACCTAGTTCTTACAGTAAACCTCTTCAGAGTACTTTAGATATTTACTTACCTGAAAGTAGACAATGGAACTGCATTGTTAAAGATAAAGGTTAACTTTCTAATGGGATTTCATAGTTTTTATGATATGTATGCAAGAACATTATTCATTCTCTAGATGGAGATTTACTCAAAAGGAATACTTGCAAAAAGTGAATCAAGCTATCACTTTATAAATAAAATTTATATACCCCTATAACAATGCATCCAAGAAAAGACTGCATTGTAGCTTCTGAGTTAGGATCTAAATCTAAATGAGATCCCAAATCAGCTCAATGTTGCTTCTCTCTCAGCAGTATTTTAGGATATTTGTTATCAGGACTCTAAAGGCTATGTAGAGAAATCTGATAGAGAAACAAAAGCCCCTGTTTGAGTAAACACACATTTGTAGGATTTCAAAAACAGGGGAGAGAAATTTGACTCTGAAAACTCATATTGCCCAAAGAATAAGCTGTTCATAGGTCTACTCAATATATAGAGGCATGTATCTCTAGAAAAAGAGTTAAGTTCTTGACTTTAAAACATAAAAATAATCTTTTGTAACAGTTAGCTCCAGGGGCAAAGAGAAGGCTTCAAACAGGCCCAAGCTGTCGTACAAGATGCCCTGAGCTTGGCTGTATGACTCAGCCGATACAGTGATGCTAAAGGTATCTATATTTTATGGAGAAGCTGTGTGAGGTCTCTGGAAAACTTTAGCAGGAGGGTTGCAACACAGATGCTGGTGTACTGTAGCAAGGCCATGTTTTCAATAGCAGAGAACTATTTTTTGTGTGTTTAAAATAGTGCTTGATATGTGAATGAATGCCTGACCAAAGAAAAGCAAATGACTATACAATCAGACTGTTAGTCTGTGACTTCCCAACACCAGATGTAGGGCAGTGACCATCCCCACCATTATCCTGGTATTGTCAAGTTACCAAATCATAAGGTCAGGTGATTGCGGAAGCAAGCCATTGTGCAATTGAAATGGTATTTTCTAGAAATGGCCTGAACAAATTGAGAAGGCACAAGTAAGTTATATAAGAAGGTTGCCTAGACTCTGTTTTAGAAAGTCTTCTTTCTCAGCTCACATCTCTGGCCTCATGGCTGACAGAAGCTCAGTTCATAGATGGTTTTCACTTGATAAATTAATGCAAGCTGAAAATTTAAAACTACTGCAAAATATAACAATGAGGATGTTATCAGTTTACTGGGGCCATTGTAACAAAGTACCATAGGCTATGCGGCTTAAAACAACAGAAATTTATTTTCTCACAGTTCTGGAAACTGGACTTCTGAAATGAAAGTGTTAACAGGGCCATGCTCCATCTGAAGGCTCTAGAAAAGAAGGCTTCTTTGCCTCATTTTAGCTTCATATTGTTGCCAGAAATCCTCTGCATTCCTCATCGTACAGCTGTGTTTCTCCAATCTCTGCCTCTATTGTCATGTGGCATTCTCTGTATGTGTCTCTAGGGTCCAAAACACCTTCTTGCTTTCTTATAAAGACACTAGTCACTGGATTATCATCACACTCATAGGTCTAGAGGGTTGGGACTTCAACATATAATTTTGGGGGATGAAATTTAACACACAATGAGTGACATTGAAGGGTGGTGACAAGGGGAATCCTCACTGTGGGCAGAACTTGTATGAGTATATTTAGTCACTTGTCTAGCCAGTTGAGGAGACACTTGAAGGAAGTAAGATTAGAAGATTAGAATCTGGAGAAAGGGTACATATATAGATTTATGGGGGTCAAGATTTTGGTCCCTCAAATTAATGTCCACCACAGTTGCTAAATGTGAAGGACACAAGACAGGTTCAAAAACCAGGTAGACAGGTTGACTCATTCAGTTGACATTAGCCAGCTATGTTCTTGGCCACCCAGTGTTTGTGGAAGAAGCTATAATGAATACAGTAACTATGGTAGCAGGAATGGAAGTTTTACATGGTCTAACAGTTTGAGCTTCCTTTCAAAAGGCCAGATCTACCCTCTACTGATGTTTGAACATCTGATAATCTCACAGTAGAGGTCAATGTTGAGTTCTTGAGACAGTACCATTGGACCCAAGGAAACTAATTTAATCACTTATGGCAAAGTAATTATAGACAGCCCTTGTATCCTGGAGGGCAGCATTTCATCCAAAATAGAATTAACTCATACTTTAGTACAGGTTTGCTTTCCATGTCCAAAGTTTTTCTGAAAGTATAGACATTCAAAACTTATTTCATGTGGCATCATTTCAGTCTAAAAGATTCATCTTATAGAGAAGGCAGTGTGACAATGAGCACATGACTATGGGATCCACTGATTCTATCCCATACAATACTATCCAGAATGACCTGGCTTAATGGAATGCTGGACTGTCTTATTAAATATTCAACCAAGGCATCATGTCTGACAAAATATTTCTTATATTTGAAATATTGTCTGCCAGGATTTTGTGTATGCATTGAGGTAATTTCTTGAAATATACCCAATAGCTTGAACACAGAAGTTCAGGGACCAAAGAAGACTGGCCTCAATCACCATCACTGCCAGTGGCTTATGAAGAATTACAAAGAATTTATGCTTTTTTTCCTTGAAAACTTAGGCTCTGCTGGAGTAGGCATCCTGTTTCCTGGGATTTGAGGGCTGGAGACATTTGTACTAGATTCTCTGCTCCACAATGTTGCCAAGGAGCATGTGTGGAAATCAGGGCATCCATCTGGGCCTCTCTTGAAGCTTCACCTAGTATAATGGTGAAAGGTCAATTGCAGCAATTGTTGTTAGGGTCAAGGATCTCAAGGGCTTAGGCTTCTCAGAATTGAATATCTGGGTCACTCCATAATGCAAGCAATCAAGACCAGATGAAATGCTACTTGAAGGGGAGACATATCTAGAATAGAGGTGGAGAAGTGACATAATAAATATCACTAATAGCCTGAGGGCCAGTTGCAGTAGGGAGGACTACAGCTTTCTCCACTAATCATGGCATATTAAGTCATTTGTAGAGATGCTGAAGGTTCAGGGACAGAACATATTTCATTACAGGACACAAATGGATTGTATGCAGGGTGGGCTTTTCGTCCTTTGTCATTGATATCCCAGCAACCCATCCTCTAGGCCTCTCCCATGATTTCTTTGAAGACCAAAGTAGGAAGGGGTCACAGCAAATGTAACATAATAGGACAGGGGTGAACACTCCGAAGAAGCAATTGTTGATCAATTGAGGTGAAAGCTGATGGACAAATGCTTTATTTGGACAATCCTGGAAAGCTTTCAGTAGCTTCCTAGAAGCATTTATTACCCACAGCAATAAACTTGATAATAAACCTTGATATTGTTTTTTTTCTCCCTCCCTGCCTCACTTTCCCTGCTTCTTCCTTCCTGCTCTCAGGCATTGCTTTTCAAACTATCTGCACACAACTCCTCATCTCAACTCTACTTTTAAGGAAACCCAAGCTAAGATACGAGCCTTTATTCTCCCACTCAACACTTCATTTTGGTATTATTTAAATCATTACAACAATGATATGTTCATTCGTAACACCTGATGATCACACAACAAAGTGACTATAATCAACAATAAGTTAGGGTATACTTTAAGAGAGTGGAATTGGAATATTTCTAACACAAAGAAATGATAAATGCCTGAGGTGATAAATGCTCCAATTACCCTGATTTGATTAATTCACATTGTATTTCTGTTTTAAAACATCTTGTGTACCCTGTAAATATGCACCATTATTATGGACTCATAATAATTAAGTATATTTTTTTAAAAAAACAGGAGCAAACAATAAAAACAGACTGTGTCTTATAGCATAGACTACCAATACATAGATTAACATGCCTTGGTAATAGCATCTATTTCTCATTACAACATCAATATTAATTAATAAGGCAGCAAATTGCATATGTTCTATTTTAAACTCTTCAGGAAAAAGGATTGGTAAACTGCCCTTTTTAATCCAATGGGTGGTCACTTGAAAGATTAATATCTGTTATTAAAAGGAGTATTTTGAAGCCTGTTCTGTTCTCCTTTTTATGAAAACAGACAGCAAGAAAAACCTGGGAAAGTAGGTATGTTTTCTGAGGTAACTCAAGAGAATTATGAATAATAATATCCTGCTTGTCCTTGTAGAGATTGCTTCATTCATTCATTCATTCAAATCACTAATATTTTGATCACCTGCTAAGTTCCAGGCAGTTTTCTAGATGCCTGGGGTACAACAACAGTGAACAAGATAGAGTCTCTGACTTCTTGGAACTACTACTTAGTAAGCAGAACAAAATAACAGGCATATTTCATGTGGTGACGCATGCTAAGAACAAAATATTTAGAAAGGTGAAGTGAAATAAAAGGGATAAAGAGAGATAAGAATTGGTATCTAGGTTTGGGAAGAGAAAACAGCATTTCTAAGAAGGTGGCATTTCAGCAGCATCCTGAAGGAACTGAAGGAGGGAGCCATCAACTATTTCGAGGTAAATTTTCAAGAAAAAGGAATAACATGCAAAGGATCTAAGGGAGGAACATGTAGAACATAAACAGGAAGAGTGCAGGGTCCAAGAGGAGGACAGTAATGAGAGGCCAGATAATTTAGGGACATGTAGGCTGTTGTAAAACCTTTGGGTTTTTTTTTTTTTTTTTTTTTTTTTTAGTATGATAGAAGGACCCAGGGGTGTTTTATGCCCAGGGAAATCTAGACACAAAAAGAAGATACAAATCAAAAGTGTGATTAGAACCCTAAGCAGGTAGTATGGGAATGACAAGGTCTCAGGATTCTGTTAACTATCAAAGCACACAGTTAATTGGAAAGTTAAACATTAGCTAAAAGTATTTAAAGTCCATTTTAACTCCACAGTAATAGGAATTAGGTTTTTAGGACAGTCTTCTTTCTCTAGCTCTCTTGCTCTCTTCCCCTCTGAATGTGTGGGATTGTTGACTGCTAAAATATGAGTAATTTTACTGTAATCTGCTGTCATGAACATTTGTGAGAAAAAGTTGTGTTTGACTTTCTTTAAAAGCTTCCCAGACAGAATGTAGAAGCCAGTGATAATGCTGAGCCTCAGACTTAAGGGATTGCTGTCGGTTAATTGCAAAGTTTATTTTTTTCTCTTTGTGTAATGCTGTGTCATCTAGAGGTCCCCAGTCCAATGGCTTAGGTTCTGTTGCTTAGTTCCTCATGTCTACTGAACAGCTGGTAAATGTGACAGCCTGGTGTGCAGAGACCACGAGTCACGTTTCCAGCACACGTTCTTACATTGCCATCATTGTTTCACATTTTTTAAAAAGGATAGCAACTGAAAATGAGTTGTCAGCCTTTAAAAGGCATTACAAAACCCATTTAGATATATAGATAGATGGAAAAACAAGTATAAAATGTAATCGTCATACAATTTCCATTTTATTAAATACATTAAAATAAAAACAGTTAATTAACACCAGAAATTATTCATGGGCTCAAAAATTTCAAAGGGGTTACACAATATGTAATCCATTTTTGTATATTATACATTTCAAAGGGAACACATTGTTTTTTCAGGAACTATCCTAAGGTTTATAATATGCCTTGTATACCTATGCTCTTGATTTTTTTTTTTCCTCAAATGGGCAGATTTTCGAAAATGGCTCTCACAAAATTCAATCACCATTTCAAAATGTGCCAGGGCTTCCAAATAATATAATTATAGTAAAGCCTCAGAGATTATCCCTATGATCAATGGAAGGTGTTTGCAAGGTAGAAAAATGTCACCTAATATCCCCTCAAAAACAATTTATCTACCAAAGGTGGTCTTTATGGTAAATCGACAAGCAATTTTATTTTCTCTACCCAGTGCCAAGAACCACACTGGTTTTCCAACTCTGCACTTCTGCCATATGAAAGCACAGCCAGGAGACAGAGAAGAAATGGGTAAAAATGGCAGCATGAAACTGTGTGCACCAGCAGGTGTCTCGTCACAGCCTCTGTGCCATAATATATTTGAGTTTCCTAAGCAACTATGCTCCCTAGGAAACTGGTTAAACTGCTTCTATAGAAACTATTAACTGAGCAATTCCTCCTTCAAACCAGCTTTATGTAGAAAGTACAAGAACATGATGGGAGAATATTTTCCAATTCCTCAGTTCTATAGATTTGCTTATGGAGTATTTTAGAACTGTACTGAATAAATGTGAAACCATATTTGCCTCGGCTTTCATTACTTTTCTGCTCATTTCATTGCATATAATACAGAGAAAGCAATGCTGTGGGATGCTGTTCCTTCATTTGATAGTTTTGGAGAGCTAGAGAAATTACCCAATTTGCTTGTGGGACTAATTTGACCTTTTCCTCTCCTAAACAATGGTGCATAAATTACATATTCTGTAACTTTGGGCTCAGTAGAACATTGCTTTAACCTATCTCATAATGAATTACATCTTAGCATTATTGGATTGAAACATATTTACGCACTATTGTGAGAAACATGAAGTCACATTCTTAATACACTGAAATGCATATTTTAATTAAAATATGTACTTTTTGTGATCTCCACTTTTTACTCTCATGTTAATTGAACTTAATTTTTATCACTGCTGTCATCTTTTTAGTCAAATTTTAAACATCCTGTATATTACCCTTTTTCATTAACTTTAAGACCAAGTTAAGATAACCAGTTCAGGAGTAAAATTTGTCTAGGGCCAAAATATTGAGACCTGGTAAAAGAGAGAAGGAACAATTATTTTAAAAAATCTTTATAATTAAAGTTCTTAGTCCATATTAAGGTGCTAATATATAAGAATACAAATCCCATGAAACTACTCAGTTTTCATTCCTATATCCTAACTCAGAAAAGGTGATCATAAATGTTCGGTAGATGACAGAAACTTGTGCAAGACAGTGTGAAATGTGGATACTAAAACATTTAGGAAATCTGGATTGGTTCACTTTTTCACAATGAGAAAATATCTGTTGCTTTTCTCTGCTTTATATTCCCATTACATATATTAATAGATAAAAGTAAAAATTCTGTAAATTCTTATCTCCTAAAAGTAAGTGTCATTCAAGGACTAAATTTGTATGTACCTTTTTATGCACCTTTATATGTATGTACCTTTATATGCATACATACATGTATAAATACACCCATGCTTTTGCTTAAATAAGATAAAATGATATTACTTTTATCCCATATATATATATTGTTCTTCATTATTTTTTGTCTTATCCCCCTCCTGCTCTGTAATCATACATCTTTAGTTACTGTGCAGTACATTTAATAGAGATTCTTATATAGCATAAATTTTAGCGTTAGAAATAGTAGGTCAAATTTTGGGGGCTCGACTTGGTTGACAAAGTCTCTTGCCATATTTTCAATATTTTTATATAATCAATATTTCTATCTTTTCTTCTATAACTTTTATAATTTCAGTACTATTTTTAAAACTCCCCACTTTCTAGATTATACATATATGTTTTATAGTCTCTTTTTAAATTTTTATTTATTTTATTTTTTACATTATGTCACTAGTGAAGACAGAATTTCTTTTTGTTCACAATCAGAGTCTAAATTTATTTCCTTCCATAGTGAACTGGAAGGAAAGACAGTTTCCTTGATCTATCATATACATGGAGAGCATGCACAGAGAACATAGGGCTAATTAGCCATAGAGAATCCCTTTAGTCTTGGAAATTGGTTGTTATTCATCATTGAGTTTCCAGAGCATACCAACACTTAAATTACACAATAATATTACTGATAATAATTTCTATGTTAATCCTTCTAAGATCCTACACATTCTCTTGCTTTATTAAATAAAGTCGACTTGATATAATTTAACATTTTACTAATGATTAGGATTATAATTATAAACATCAGCCATTACATTGCTTATTGAGGACCCTTTCTGTCTTCCTCTTACTCCTCACAATAAAATTAAAAGCTCTTTACCATTGTTGTTTCAAATCATTCTCTTTTCTTGATGTGGTGGAAATACAGGCTGACTACCTTCTAGATAACCCTCCACAATTTCCAGAAGTATCTTTCACCACAAAAAATATAGATGTAGAAATTCCTCAAATTTTTATTACTAAACTTGTTTCTTCTCTCTATGTAGTCTCTGGATAGGTAACTTTTACAAGATGAATTGTGTCCCACAAAAGGGTATGTTAAATTCCTGACCCCCATTACCTCAGAAGGTGACTTTATATGGAAATACAGCTTTGCACTACATAATGAAATTTCAGTCAACAACAGACCTCATATAAGGCAGTGGTTCTGTAAAATTATAATACTATATTTTTATTATACCTTTTCTATATTTAGATATGTTTAGATAGACAAATATTTACTATTACGTGAAATTTCCTATAGTATTTGACATAGTAACATATAGGTTACCTAGTCTATAGGTTTGTAGACTAGAAGCAATAGCTATAGCCTAGGAGTTTACTAGTCTATACCTTCTAGGTAAGTACACTCCATGATGTTGGCACAATGACAAGATCACCTGATGATGCCTTTCTCAGAATGTATCTCTGTCATTAATTGACATATGACTATAGTTTCATAGCAGACACAACTATTTTTTTGTTTTTTGTTTTTTGTTTTTTTTTTTCAGCCATTTTCCATCAGTACAGACACAACTATTAATAGTTAAGATGAGGTCATACTAGAATAAGGTGGGCTCTAAATCCAATATGACTGGTGTACTTATAAGAAGAGGAGAGAGGGAGACACGCATAGAGCAGAATGTCATGTGAAGACACAGAGATACACAGCGATGGGAAGATGGAGGCATAAATTATCTTTATGCTGCTACACACCAAAGAACATAGAGTGCTGCCAGAAGCTAGAAGAAAAAAGCAAGGATTCTTTACTAGAGACTTTAGTGTGAGGACAGCCTTCCCAACCCTTTGATTTTCAATGTGTAGCCTCCAGAAATGTGAAAAAATAATTATCTGTGGTTTTCAGTTATCTAATTTGTAGTAATTGGTTATGGCAGCCCAAGGAAACTAATGGAGTGACATATTCTCTTCCCAATATTTTATTCCATCCAAATGTATATAAGCAGTGCAAGCTTCTCTTTTAATGTATAAACAAACAAAAATTTTCAAATTTAACATGCCCAGCAGTAAATTAATTTTTCTCTTTCAACTTCCTCCTCTTCCGACCAGGCATTTTCATTTCAGTGAATGGCATTTTTATTTGCTGAGTTACACAAGCTACGCACTGAAGAAACACCCTGGATTCTACTCTTTCCCTCTCATAGAAGACCTGTACCATTCATCGCTAAGTTTGACAAATTGCCTCCAAAATCAAATTTACATTCTTTCCAGGTTCCTACCCCTCTAATGTACTAATTGTCACCACCATCAACACAGATTTAGATGACTTTAATAGACCACTAATTAGTCCCTCCTTTCATTCTTGCTCACTTTCCATACAAACAAAAGATATATTTAAAATTAATATAAACTAGTTCTTATAAATTCTTTCTTAGCATTTTCAGTTGTTCATCATTGCACTTAGGACAGAATTCAGACACCTTAATGTCGATTGCAAAACCTACCTGATAAAGCCTACGCTTATTTCATCAACTTTAAGCCAATTCCCTCTTCTACTTACTCAATGCCATCTATCCAAAATGCCCATGTTTCACATACCAGTGACTTTGACTTTGTTTATGCTGTTCTTTTGAGTGAATCAGTCTCTCCCACAAATACAACCATTCTTTCTCATGGCTGTCCCTTCAGCATCATTTAAGTATCAGTTCAAGTGCTACTTTCTCAGGGAAGCCACCTTTCACTACTCTATCTAATGCTATTGTTACACTTGCTATCGCTATTTGTCCATTTAAAAATATTTGATTAATTGATTTCATTGTACTTTCCATAATATACAATTTACCATTTACAAAATTTTTTACTTGTATGCAAATTTGATAGTTGTCTGCCTCCCACCTTAGACTCTAAGCTCTGTGAAGAAAAGAGGACCACAACTATTGCATTCTCCACTGTATCTTGCTGGGTCTAGCAATAAAAATAGTATCCACTGGGTCTAGCAATAAAAATAGCAATCATCAGGAGAAAAGGAAGGGAGGAAAAAAGGAAGAAAGGGAAGAGGGAAGGAAGGATATGAACAACAGATGTTTTTTCTAATGTTAGGAGGTTCCCATCTAACAGGTTGAAGAACTGGGTAGAAACAAATTTATCTATTAGCAGCTGTTTCTTGTTAGGGCTGACATGTGTCCACCTATTGGGATCTATGGCATTGTTCTAAACAGGCAGAGAGTGAATATAGCAGCTAGGTGGTGTGAATTTGGCTAGTCTTCATATTTTTTCTGAATTTTCAGAAATTCAATGATTGTGTTTATAAATATTAAGCTTAGAGAAAATCTGATTCCTTTCCCATCAAGATGTTACTATTACTATCCACAATTCTTTGGTCAGATATTTATAGAATATGCGTTATCATTAGATAATTGTTATAAGGAGAACCACTAAATTATTACATTCAAACATGTTATATATTAATAATATTGTCCATACTTAAATGGGCTAATTTCTCAGATCAAACTGCAGATTTTGGAAAGTATTCAGTTCTTATTGAATGTAGATAAAGCAGGACGGAAGAAGTTATCTGATTTGTCAATAATACAATGGCCTAGGTAATTTTTTGAAACTTGAAAGAATTCTGTAAATATTAAATATTAGTTTTACATAATTTAAGGTGGTGTGATATAAATTATTTCTTTCAATTTTTTTCTCCTCCTCCGATTTACTGATTCTATTTCTGAGATGCAAGAAAGAGTAATGAAAGAAAGAATAACACACAACAGTATTATGGAGGTATTCCTTCAAGTTAATTAGGCAGCTTTTATTCAGAAATGTTCAGAAAGTTTATGCCATGCCTCCAAGCATCTTCACAATCTTAGGTACCAGAAGGAAGCAGCATGATGGGTTTCAGGCTTCTTCAGTCATGAGCATTTTACCAGAAAGTCTTGAACAAACCAAAGAACTGAACTTTATAGTGCCTGGAAGTCATATTTATGAGTCAGTATAAACTTTTCTTCAATAATACAATGGAAAACCAAATAAATTACATAGTCAGTGATAGATAAATTTTGTGGCTTTGTTTGTGGGTTCTGATTATATAGGTATTAAAAGTCATGGGAAGTGCATTTTCATTTTTTAATTTTTGGGAAACACAACTCAAATTAATCTAATAAGTCCCCGAATCTCTGTTGAATATAATTTCAGTATAAGGTTTACATGAAATAACTACTAGTAAAATAGCAAAAACTTGGCAAGTAGACAAGACTAGGTCTAAACTGCCCATCTCTGATTTATTAGTTCTTCATTCCATTAAGGGTAGAATTTTCTGGTGATATTTAATGGTTTCTACTATTTTTCCACAATAGAAAAAAATAACTAAAATTATGTATCTCGTGGGTCCATAATGAAGGCAGATTTAGTGCTTGACATTGTCAATGAATGGGAAAACGCAATTATTGTCATGGCAGCAACTCTTAATTTAGGTTATCTTCCAACAAGCTGTTGGCTATTTCAAAAAATTAAAATAGTCAACCCAAAGAATTCTAAACCATCTTGAGGTAGGCATAATAATGCTAGACTTTTTCTCATAGCCTTGTATTTAGAGCTTAAAATTTCTTAAAATTCTTCATGTTTCTTAGCAAACTGACAGAGTTGCTGGCTCAAAGAAAATTGTTAAATTTCTGAAAAGACCATGTGTATTTTATTTTAATGTTCGTCATATGTATCTTTTCCAGGAAAAGTAGTTAAAATTTGGCTTCTATATTCATATAGATGAAGGCAGTTTAGAGGCAATTTAGCTCATTCTTCTGTGTTAAGCAATGCCTATTTCCTCTGAGCAATATCAAACTGATAAAAATCAATCCTGTTTTTCAGAGACTTCTATAACAAGTTACTGTAAGAACCTTTTTATCCAATAACAGTGTGCAAATTTTTTCATTGTATTTAAATTCTTTTTCAGTTTATCTCTACCATCATAAAGCCAGAAAGAAATTTCAGAGATAATTTATCCACCCCAGTATTTTTATATAAGAAAGTAGCTGAATCATTTAGATAATTTGTTGTCTACGCTATTTTTAAAGATCTTTGCTTGAAAGTTTGCTGAAGAAACACCACGCATATTTGATGTCATGGGGAAAGAATTGGTAAAACTTTTAAGGCAAGAATTCTGAAGTTGAAAAAGACTGGGTCACAACTACTTTCTAAATTTGTATCCTTGGACAAGTTAGTTCAATTCTGATGCTCAGTTTTCTCATCCGTAAAATGATAATAATGGTGCATCCTTATGTTTATTACAAAAATTAATTGCTGTAATTTGAGTTCTTATGAGGTATCATGTTTATTTATAATATTACCATTGCTTTCCTGATGAAGATTGTATGAAACTTAACTTTCTAAAAAGATAAAGTCACTTTTTTCATATAGGTAGCCTGAGTATTAATATTTAACTATGAGCTGTGATTTAGAAAAAAATGGTATGAAGTAAAATTAAAAGTATGATAAATCATAATTACCAGAACATACTCCAACAGGGCCTAATGTTAATTTAAGCCAGGTTAAAATATTTTTTAAAAAATATTAATCCTAAATGCTCATTTCAGGCAAGGATCTTATCTATAAAATTTTCTGACAATGACTTTAAAATTCTACTTAAAATTTTCAAGAATGAAGAAACTATTATCTCTACAAACCCATGAATCTATCTTTAAATAACTACAAATACTAATAAGTTTATGCCAATATTTAATTGCTTAATTTAATTAAATCTTCTGTAATATCTACTCATTTGTACCCGTTATATTCCTTATATTTTAATCCCTCAATCCCATGATAGTGATTCTAATATTTAAAAACTTTTAAGTTCCATTTTCTACTATTTTTCCCTTCAAACTAAATCTTCCTTTAGTCAATTTTTTACCTCTCATAATTAAAATTCAAGACATCTCATAGGCACATTAACCCTTGATAAATGTAATCCAGTTAGTCTACCAAACACTTTGAATTAGCAGCTAGGAATTGTTCTTTCCTTCTCTGATTCCCTTTCATTCCTTAAAGGCAAAACTCTAGCCCTATGTGTATATTTTATGTTCTATCTTGCAGGTTTTGACTATAAACCAAACAGAGTTACTATATTAGCTAATGGCAAACATAAAGTATGGTGTGTCCTAGGGTAATTTGCTTTTTAAGGATGATCTTGATGGGAAAAAACCATTAAAGTACAAAGGATTTAAGCTGTAATGGTGGGATAAAGCTATATGATGTGATTATGTTTTAGAAAGAGATTTGGTTCATGGTTACATCAAATCACAACATATAGAAATCTTCTGATTCTAACTACTCACAAGGGTTAATATTCTTTGAAAGAAACATTGAAACAGACTCCAGATTTCTCTAATTTTCCATAGGCTTTTTGCTATAGATTCCGAAGCCTGTGGCCATTTCAGTAGGAGAACATCAGGAGAGTATAAGATCTTTGTGATAATCTATCCTATCCTTTTACAGCTGACTAAAGTAATGCCTGGAGAAATTTAGAAATGTGTACAAGGTCACTCTTTTAGCTCACTGTGAAGATGTGTCTTACTTAACTCTACTCATCCTGAGACTTAAGCCCAGTTTTGTTCTCTTAACTTCAAGAAATCAGCATCAGTGGGGATCAGGTGATATTTTAGACAGTAGAAAACCTATCCTGGAGTTAGCATATTGTCCATACTGGTTAAACACTTATGGATGGGGAAGGATGGTTTTATTTCTTTTCATATTGTGAACTAAAATAAAATTTTAAGCCCCCCAGCTGACTGAATGGCCCCCCTCTTGGCCAAGAGGATCCCAAAAATATCCTACAGCTGAGTTGCTGGCCACAAGAACGGAGGTCAGATGCACCTAGTCCTGTCCCTCTCCCTTCTTGGTGCTGTAGTTTGTGACTCATTAGCGGACCTAAGGCTATACAAGACAAAGCTTAAACTACAACTGGTCACTTGAGTTTAGGTAAATGCCTGGTGCCTTGTTTCTGATTAACAGACATTCTTAAGTTAAAACATCCCAAGATTTAGACAAAGCTTTATTTCTTTAACCTATTACAAACAAAAGAATCTTTAAACATACCTATAATTTGTCCATCTTTGAGATGTCCCTCCTTTGGGACCAAATGAAAGTATGTCCTCTGTATATTGACTTTGGGTCTTAAGTGTAATTCCTCCCTCTACGAATGAATAAAACCAACTGTAACCCAGCTACCACAGACACATTTTCTCAGGACTTCTTGAGGCCATGTGCCCCGGGCCAGTCACACACATTTTGCTTGGAATAAACCTCTTTAAATTCTTTTGCAGAGTTTTTTATTTGTTTTGTTTTCTGTTAACAATATTTAAAAGGACACATTACTAGAAATACATGCTTTCTGTAGAATACAGAATTTGCTAATGATGAAATTAAAACTATCTAAGTTGCCTTTGAAATATGTGTTTATCCTCTTTTTGAGAGTTAATTTCTATGCAATCACAAATTTAATTGGAACTTAAAATTAGTAGGTAGGTCTCTGCCTTCGTAAGCCTTCCAAATTCAACAGTGTCTAATAGCTATTTGATTGGCATCATCAATATGTCCTTTCAAGCAGATACCTATATCATGCAGTCATTTAAAAAATTAACACTAATTATACTTTAAGCCAAAGTGTTAATCATTGTCCCTTCTTTTAGGATAAAATTGAGAATAGTTGTTTAGGCAACTGTGAAGTATGTTGTTTGGTGTTTGGGTTGCTGTGATTAAAACAATGGCCTTCAGTTTGCTGTGCCATCAACCTAGTACATGTCACTAATACTTAATTCATTTTTTAGAGCAGAACCATATACCCATCTTCTATTGCAATTACTGCAGAGGAGGAGAGATGGAGAAGTAAAAATGAAACATTTCAAGGATGAATGGGCACTGAAAATTGGTAAAGTGGCAGGAAAGTCCAAGTTTGAAGAATGAAAAAGTAAATGTATGTAGAAAAAGTAGTTTGGAAAACAGGGAAAAAATTGATATTTTGCAGAAACATCTGTTTGCTGCTGCTGAAAATGTTAGCATTTAAATGTTCTCATTTGGGCTCCAAAGTTAGCACTTTCCTGAAGTAGTTCACACCTTTGCTATTGCTCCTGTTCAGCTACAGATCATTTTATGCAAGGCTGATTTTAACAAGAAAATGGTGCATTAATTTACAATGTGTTGAGTATTTTTAAAGTGGCAAAATCTAGGCTTTTGTGAAATTTTAGAATCTGGAGAAAATAGAAATACTTACATAAAGCTCTTTAAAATACGAGAATGGCCTCATGCACAAGAAATTATATCCTGATTAAGAAAATTAGAAAATTCTGTTATACAAAAAAAGCATTCCAATATCTAAACTAGTGGGTTTGCTGTGACTACCTAGAGTGTCTATTCAGTACTGAAGCAGATTTAAACTCAGACACTATTTAGCTATACTTTTATTATAATCTCTCACTCTCCCTTTCCTTCCCTACCTCCTCTGCCCATCTTTATTCAACTTTTTATTTTATTATTTCTCATTATTTATTTTCCTTTTCTTTTTTTCTCTATTGCCCCCTTTGTCTTTTTTCTGTCTCTCATTTTTTTGTTTGTTTCAAATATTTTAGTTCTGTTTTTATTTAACAAATAAACTTGCTAATAACTACTCAGAGTTCTCTCTCAGCTTACTCACTGGAGTAATTAATATTTTAGAGTTTTATATTTCTGAAATGTCTTAACATTTCAAATACAATTAAAATAAACAATGAAGCTTCCTGGACATAACATATATACCTTGATCTACACATTTTTTTTTTTGCAAATATTAAACTAACAGAACAAATTGGTTCAAATTTACAGGTTATGTTTCATTATTCAACTTTTAAAAGTCCCCCAAATTAAAATTATAAATGTAGTAAGTCATCATTAACATCATTGAAAGGTTCTTGGAAACTGCAACTTTACCTGAAATAACATTAATATAACGAAACCAATTTTACCACAAGCTAATAGTTGTAAACAAGAGTTAAATTCCCATGGCATGGTCACAAAATCATGACCAAACTTTTATATAAGACCCAAAACATTTCTAATATTAAAGATCAAAACAAATGCGAGGTATACATACTTTTAAGAAAGATGAATAAAACCAAGTAAGGTAATTATTTATCTAATTATTCAGTTGAAAGTGGTTGGAGCATCTGCTAGCAGCTCAGAAAGTGAGGTGGGAACCAGCTCTGGAAAGACTGTCATCCATCTGAGAGAGTAATCATACTTACACTCACTCATTTAGAAACGACAGTTCACCTCACGTGCACGTATTTGGGATGTGGGAGCAAGGCGGAGTACCTGGGGAAAACCTACACAGACATAGGGAGAACATTCAAACTCTGTCCAAACAGTTGCCTTAGCTGGTAATCAATTGTTTCCTTTTCCTCGTTAAAATTACAAGAAAACAACATGGAATGAAATGATGTTATTTGAGAATCTTCTGTGTGAAATTGGGTCCCTTTACTTTGTATGATAAATATTGAAATTGTAAAGGATTACTCTTCTGATACAATAATTACTCTGTCTTGTCAAAGTACCACAGCAATTAAGGATCCAAATAGAAAAGAACATAAATTGTCTTTGGGTGCTGTCTTAGTCTATTTGTATTGCTATAACTGAACACCTGAGACTGAGTAATTTATAAAGAACAGAAATTTATTTCTTACAGTTCTGGAGACTGAAAAGTCTAAGATCAAGCTGCCTGTGGGTTCAGTTGTCAGGTGAGGGCTGCTCTCTGCTTCCAAGGAAGGCAGAAGGGCAAGCTAGCTGAATGCTGCATGAAGCTTCTTTAAGAACCTTGATCCCATTTCTGAAGGAGGAGCCCTCACGGTATCATCATCTTTTAAAGTTCACGCTTTTAACACTATCATGCTGGCAACACGTGAATTTTGGAGGAGCCACACTCAAACCATAGTAGATGCTTTTTAGACTAATATCATAATATGTAGTATATAAGGAAGATTGTGTTTGTTTTATACATTTGAGGCAGGCATTAGGCTTCCAAGTATATGTGGCTTAGGAAAATAACTAAGTGGGAGTTGGATTTATTATTTTTTCAACATTTTTATGTAGGAAAATTAAGGTAAAGAAAGCTATTAACACACAGTGAGGAAAACATTGGTCAGGATGGCAAAAATCTTATGAAATTACAACCTAAACTCATGGGTGGTGATGGAAATAGTGAAGCAAAACACAAATATTGTTGAGTCCATAAGTTGTAAAGCAGATTATGTGCTGCTTTAAACTTAGGTTGTTTAAGCCTTAGTTGCCAGTCCAAACTCTTATTCCCTGAGCCACATTGTTCAGCCCTTAAAATAAACAGAGGATTGAAGATCCATGCTGCACCACATGATGAACTTGCCAGAAAATTTAATTAGGAAATATGGAGCATTATTTTCTGAATTTGTGACACATCATCATACTTACAGAAATATTCTTCAAAGTATACAAAGAGTTATTATATGTAAATTGAACACATATAAAAATAAAGATGGATAGAGACAGATAATGAATGAGAGAGTGGTCTATTCATCTGTGGCACATATTTGTAGAACTTAGGCCATCCTCAGCTCTGGATTTTCTCATTTTTAAAATAACATCCAAGTGCCTAATGGATTTAAAATGTACCATGTATCTTATGATGAGTAAAATACTGTGAGTAATCAATACAAGTTTTTCTAAACCAGTAATTTTTGCTTTTCAGCTGAAGACATACCCAGACTTACAGATGACCAAATTGAAGGAATACAAAACTACAACCCTGTAAGTACAAACATGTTCTCCTGAGCCTCTGGAACAGACAAACAGAGGTAGAATAACAAACATATTCTGACAAAGTCAAAGTGATTATACTTTTTCCTGACCTCCTCACTTCTTAAAATTAATTTACATTAGACTATAGATATGTTTTTCACTTAGATTACAAATCAGTTCTTCACTGGGTTTCTTGGTTTCCTTTCAATTTATCTGTCAATCTAAATCTTTCTTGTTCTTTCTCTTATCTGCTCTTTATCATGCTTGACCACGGGTTTGTTTATTTATTTATTCATTTTACGCTTTACCTTCATCCTTTTCATGCATGATTTTTCCACTTCTAATTACAAAGTAGTGAGAATAACCACATATGCTGGAGGATCCCCCAGGACACCGGCTTTTTCTCTTGTCCTGACACAGAATGCCTTGAACACAGGCACTGATATGTGCATTTACGTTGTTTCCCAAAATGCTGAAAAAAACCAGCTTCAGCCCTAAGCCAAATTCCTTAAACCCTCATATAAACTTCGAACCCACACCTTCTGTTGCCAACATCTCTAGGTAGAATATCCCTTTCTCTTACTGTCTGCCCAAGGAAACACTGCAGCATTCTCTAAGTAGCTTCCTCAAATAAATGCTTTGGATCGGTCACTCTGACATTTAGTGCTTCTTTCTTTGGAATCTTAACTGCCCCCATCTCTGGACAATTTTGGTCATTCCATTTTAGAAAGCCTTTTGGGGCTTTTTAGAAAGCCTCTAGCCACCAGTTTGGCTGGGATAAAACATGTATGTAGAACTATAATTCTGTTTGAATCTGCATTCAAATATTTTATTAATTTACTCCAAGAGTAATTGTACATTCACTTATTATATCTATTATCCACATTTAATTACTTATGGGAGAAATATTCAATGCCTTTCTTGTATAACAATCCTTCTTCTGAAAGAGGAGTGCTAAATGACTAGAAATATAAAACAGAGACCCTGGTGAATAAGATTGTAAAGAGGACAAAACTGAACCATGACTCTGTTACTAACCCATACTGGTTGGTTAGTTTTTAAGCTATTTTCCTTCAGCTGCAAAACGATGCTTCTATCTTGTGCTATATGAGGCTAGGGCTGCAATGCTGTAAAACACATTTCTGCTTTTTCAGCATGCTCCTTGTTAGACTCTAATAAAGAACACTTGAAGGAAACCTAAATGCTAAAGGAGGAAGAAGGACCTACTGTTTTCTGTGAAATTCCAGCAACATTTATTCATCCTGACAGTGACAGTTTGTCCCTGCAGCAGCAGTTGGTCCGGTTTGAGTTTTTCCTATATTTTCAGAATAAGCCCCCTCATTTCCCCTCAGAAGAACAAGTAGCAGCCTGCTGAGCTCTTTCTCAGAGATCTAACTCCTAGTTCCACAGGCATCTCCTCCAGGTTTGCAAAGTTTAGTATTCCAGCGTCTTCCACCCTAGTGGTGGTAGCTCTGTCCTGCAGTTACTATCTTAGTGCTCCCTTTTGTCCTTTCAGTTCTCCAATACTTGATTTACAATTCTTTATATTAAATTTTTAGTTAAAATAATGATATTGTCTCTGATCTTCTGTCTTATATATTATTTCTTATTTAAGGCTATTAGCACCTAGGTACTGGTAGTTCAGTGGAAGTAACTAGCGAGATGAAAACTGAAGAGAGTTCACATCTCCTCAACTCACCTATTTGTATTCGGTACAAATAATACAAACTATTTTCCTCAGGAGAGGAAACTGTATCCTACAGCAACCCTACTGGTTTTTATTTCAAACTATATTATTGTTGTACTGAAATGGATCATTTTCATTATAATCTACTTGCCAGTAATTGTATTTGAAAAAGATAGATTAGAATCCATAAAGTTATGACAGTGAGCTATATTTAGGTAGGAAAAAAAGGTGTATATATTCACTGAATAAGAGCTTTAAGAAAGGCAGTGTTTAAATCATTCATTCATTCGGAATAAACATTGATTATGTGACAAATATCCTTCAAGAGATGAAATACATGCTTCTTATCTTCAAAGATTGTGTAACCTATGTAGAGGAGAGCTTGACAGCAGGTAATATGAGTTTGAAAATATATCAGACACATACTATGACTTCTGTTAAACACTAAGGCAAGAGAAATATAGAATATATAGAAAAAAATAAAGGATTTTGACTAGCATGTAGTATTAGTAGAGGCATCAGAGAGAACACAGATCATTCAAAAAACACTTTGATGTTCTCCCAACCATGGTAATTGTTTGAGAACACAAAGTGAACATAAGAAATAGTCCTGCACTAAAGAAGTTTGCTACCTGAAGTAATGTATGTAGAGCTTTATTCTTATAGGATTATCTAATTTTGTATAACAAACAAAACTTAGTG